CAGGCCCTCGGGTCCCCCCCCCAGGAAATGGGCCATGAAGGCCAATGACTCCTCTAAGCAGAAGGCTAAAAAGGGCCAAAGCAGGAGGCTCCATAGCCAATGCCATGGCAGAATTGGTCTTCTAGCGGGGCTGGGTGGGTGTTCTCCCTTGAGCAGAGATGGGGGGGGGACCCCTGCAGCATAGAAGAAGGTTCGGCTGCACCACCTCCTCTTCCCTCGCTCACAGCTACGTTGGCTGCAGCTGGCGGACGCTGCAGTCAGGCATCTGGACATTCAGGTTCTCTCCAAGGGGTGGGCAGCATGTAGCCCTCCAGATGCTGAGCTGCAGTTCCCAGTGTTCCAGGCCTTCAGTCACGATGGCAAGATTTCCCTGGGACTCCTTTAGAACTTTGCAGCAACCTTCTGTAAGAAGCTGAGGCAGCTGGAGCAGAACCCAGCAAGGAGGTCTAGCCTACAACCAGTTGCCTTTTGTGAAAAACAACACGCACGCACGCACGCACGCACGCACACACACACACACACACACACACCCATCTCCACTGGCAGACCTTCTGGCACCCTCTACTCACCGGCGCTAGCTCCAAAGTCTGTGTCCAGACCTGGCCCTTGGGAGGCAGTGAAGTTGGCAGAGTTGAGCTTGACCCTGCTTTCTGCCCGCCGGATGCTGCTGCCGTACTCGAAGGGCGCTGAGTGGCCATGGACAGCAGGTGTTGATCTGCCACCGCTCCGGATCTTGTCCTGGGTGCTGGTGAGGTAGCCAGGGAAGCCTCCATCCGGGGCGCCCTGCAGGACCAGAGGGTTGATCCAAATTAGCCCTCTTGGGCAGAGGAGGCCCCCTCCAGAGAGCCGCTTTTCCTCCCAGCCTCTCTTTGGGCGCTCAGAGGGTCCCAGGTGATACGGGGGGGGGGCAAAGGGGGGGAGAACAGAGGGCTCCTCTGATCTAGAAAGGGGAAAATACAGGTCCCTGATGTTCTAAAAACCTAGTTTTAATGCATGTTAATCATAACTTTCCACTAAGAGGCAGTGAGCAACCCTCAAAACAAACTGAACTATTAAAGCCAGTAAACCTCAAAAGAGCCAGTTTGGAGAGCTGAGTCTTCGGGTCCTTCTAAAAGCAATCTAAGCAAGAACTCAACGGGGACGCTGAAGGAAGGGCCTTCCACTTCTTCCACAGGCCCATCTAGCCCCCTCCCAAGGCAGCCTCTGCCCAAGACCTGAACATCCGAACCGGGTTGTCCTGAGGCCAGGCGTCCCTCAGCGAGGAGTCAGGGCCCAAGCTGGGGAGGGATGTCCCTTTGGCCTTGACCTTCCTTCTGGCGCCCCCCCCCCGGGCTCTGGCCTTTCCAGAACAGCCTCCCTTCTCTCAAGAAGACGCTGGTCCTACCCTGGGGGTGGGGGTGGGGGGGGTCCTCTCCGGGCCCTTTAAATGGCACAGAGGCAGCAAGGCCCGTTTCCATTTCAGGAGCCGGAAGGTAAGGCCTCTGCCCCGAATCGGTCCCAGCTTTGCCCCCGGGAGATCTCCTTCCCAGCTCCGGGTGTCAGTCCGCTTGCTTGGGGGTGGAGGGGCAGCCGGTTTGCCATTCTCGGCAACTTGTGCCGAAGTTAAACTCCTCCTGTTCTCGTCCCTGGTTCGTTTGGCTTTTAATGCATTCAAATGATTCCATTTTAAACACACACGTTGCCAAAGAGCCTAATGAAGGATGCCTTTGAAGGAAAGCAATACGTTCCCGCGTGGGAGGGAGGTAAGCTAACAATTCAACACCCCCCAGCCACGCTCTGGGAGAAATCGTCGGCGCTCTGGTTTACGCGGGCCAATGACACCAAGAGCCGGATAAAGCCCGGCCGCGGAACGGGTGGAGGGGTGGGCGGGTGGCCTCCCTTTCAAGACCTCTGGGTTCCCGTGGCAGCTGTCAGAGCCGTGGGCTTCGGCGGCTTCTGGCTGAAAGGGAAACACACACCCCCGTGCGACAACCCAGAAGGGGAAAACGCCTCCTCTTCACAAATAAAAAAATAAAACCCAGCACCAGAAGAACAAGAGCAGCGAGCTTCCCCAGAGGCTCCGTGCACGCCCTTTTGAGACCCCCCCCCGAGGCTTCGCTTTCCCAGACTAAGGGGTCTCCTCGCCAGGTGCGAGGGAAGGAGCGGAGGCAGGCAGGGCTACCTCTGCACCGCCGCGCCCTGGGGCAGGACACCCCCCCTCTTCTCACTGAAGCCCTGAGGGAGAGAGGTGTGGAGCATCCCTCGTGGGGTGGGTGGGGGGCTCGGACCTTGCACCAGGAAGGACAGGAGAAAGGACGCCCTCCCCCAGACCGAGGCGGCTGGCCGGCCTTCCACCAATGTGTGTGCCGCCTTGTGCCAGCTCGGCCCCTGCCTGCCAGCCAGCCAGCCAGCCCACCCGCCGAACCAAGTCCCTCAGGGAGGGGGCGCAGCCTTTGCAGGAGGGAGGGAGGGAGGGAGGGAAGGGTCCCCGAGCAAAGGGTCTTCCAGGCCCGCACCCTGGCCGCTTACTTACACCAGTCCCCGAGGAGGAGGTGGCGGGAGAGTTTGGGGGCGCCCAGCCCCGCTCCTGTTTCTCCAGCTCACCGGAGGGGGTGGTGGCGGCGGTGGAGGCGGCGGCGGCGGCGGCGGCGGCGGCGGGGGTTTCCTGGCGGGCTCCCTGTCGGGGCTGACCCCTGGCTGGAGCCG